CCATCATAACGCATAATGCAGGTGACCCCATCATGGCAACCTCAGTTCAGGTCCTCAGCAAGATGTCGACTGTAGAGGCCCAAATAATTGCCAGTATTGTTCCGGGGTTCTGTTCCATGCTATCATAATTTTAGCATAGTGGGCCTCAAAATCCTATTCTAAGTATTAAGGCCCCCATATTAGGCTTGCACTTTTCGTCCGCATGTGCTTCCGCAGCCCGGACATGTTGTCGACTTTCAGTGGCTGGCGTAAGAGGTTTGGGGATTCAGAGTATGGGGGTTCAACGGTTTTTCAGGGTGGGGTTGGAGAGAACATCTTGTGAACTTTCGGTGTTGAAACGGTCGTGTCTGTGAAGTGAGGGTTTAGGGGGCCACCACAAGCGAGCACTGAAGACATCGTGAAGCATCGGACGGTTTGATCACTGCAATACCGCTCAACGCTTGCGGTATGGATGAAATCCATCTTGCTGATGTGCCACCATCTGAGGTGCTGACGCTGAAGAGGCAGGCATTGGATCAAGAACCTTTCATTTCGCCCCCAGTCCCCAATCTAAAGCCGAAGCCTCACGCCACTAAACGCCTAAACTGCCCAAACCCTAAACAGCAAGTAATCAAGCACCTTAGAACGTAAGCCAAAATTAATCTCATAAACCCAGGACCAGGAGTTCCAACGCTTTTTGACAGCTCGCAAGCTTTTGCATCCCATAGCCTCTACACTTCAGGAAACATGCATAAGCCCACGAAATGGGGACCCACTCTGTTCGCCATTTCAGGCTTAAAACGTGTTGGGTCTAGAATAGTTTTGTGTTGAGGGCAGTTTTGAAGTTCGGGCTTTTGGGTTGTAGTATAGGGGCCTTGATGATTACCGATACTACTCTGAGGGCTCCTTCGTATAGTTATGGTACAGTTGCCCCAGAACCCGATTCTAATTATTAAGGCCCCTATAGAGTGGGATGCTCCCGGGTTTTTGTTGTGCTCTACGGTTGACGGGCTGTGCCCCAACGACATGTTACATGTGTTAAATTTAGTCGGATGTGTCGAACAGGTTATGGTGGAAGCCCTGCACCATCGACAACTGGGAGGGAGTTGACTTTTAGTACAATTTGGGCGTACATCTACAGCCAATATGTGAATGTGTGTAGATTCAGGTATAGATAAGTAGACACATCGGTAGGATTCTTTCGCTTGGCTACTTAATCATACAGTAAGCCTGAACCCTAAGTAAACCGCATATCTCGAAGCCCTAAACCCTCAATAACACGAATGGACTCGCCAACCCAGAGAGCCCAATACCCTCTAATTAGGGAATATAGCTTAAATCATAATATGAAGCCCCTAATGATTTAAGGTTCTCATATTCCCTAGTTAGGTTCTCATATTCCCTAGTTAAGAGGTATTTGGCCTCTTTGGGAACCCGGGAGGCTAGCTCTGAACGCCGATTGCGTCGTGGTTTTGGACAACACTGCTCTGAATCGCATCGCGATGGATCCCTTGGCCTGGTTTTGTGGTTGTCCTGTGTTAGCTTCCTTTCGGTTTAGGGTTTAGGGTTTAGGGCTTAGGGTTTAGGGTTTAGGGTTTAGGGTTTGGGGTTTAGGGTTTAGGGTTCGGCCGCCCATGTGCGAGACACAAGACTGGACAAGATATCGTCACAGCATACCATCAGATAGATTCTAGTAGTGGCAATGCTGCCGGGGGCAGTGGTCGTCATGTAGAATATAGGGTTCTGGGGTAACTGTACTATAACTATAGTAAGGAACCCTCAGAGTAGTATCGGTAATCATTAAGGCCCCTATAGTACTAACCCAAACTGGACGGGGCTCAGGGCTCAGATTCACCCGGCTTGTAGCGGATCGAGCTGCAAAGGATCGGCTGAAGCTGACGAATCCTACGCTGGCACCTCAGGGTGTTTGCTGGTGGGTTTTCGGGAATAGGAAAAAGGCTTCTGCAATTTGGCCCGTCGCGTGCCTGCATGCATTGTTGTCTCTCAGCTCGGCTCCATGATGTGTCGTCTTGCCCGTCTCCTTCTGTGTACTTTGTGGTTTCTGGGTGTGAGTTCAGCAGTCACCCATGCCAACCTAGGCAGTTCGGCGCAGCTACCGAATCACCAAACCCAGACGGCTCACATAGTTTGGCAGTTGTCAAGCATCGGGCGCAAGGGGCTTCAGCTGTAACGTCTCTCCCTCTCTATCTCTATCTCTCTATCTCCATCACTCTATTTCTCTCTATCTCTATCTCCGTCTCCATCTCCATCTCCATCTCCATCTCTCTCTCTCTCTCTCTCTCTCTCTCTCTCTCTCTCTCTCTCTCTCTCTCTCTCTCTCTCTCTCTCTCTCTCTCTCTCTCTCTCTCTCTGTCTGGCTATGTACACATATGTCATAGGTGTGTATATATATATATATGTCTCTCTCTCTCTCTCTCTCTATCTCTCTCTCTGGCTATGTACACATATGTCATAGGTGTGTATATATATATATGTAGATTTTTGTATATATTTATATACTATGTATACACATAGAGGTAAGCCTGTGTCTCTGCACATACAAAGTCCCAGTGCCACTGCAGTTGAGCTACATTCGTTGCACGTTGGACTGGTCTTGAACTTGAAATTACTGTAACCTCAACGGGAAACTCACCAGATGAAGGTTCACGATTTCGTAGCTCACAGTACCAGTATGGGGTGCAGTCGCAAAGGCCGGCTTCACCCGAATTCGAAAGGCCTTTCCGCCTTCATCAACTTCAGCCCTGAACAAAGATGCCTTTTCCAAAAGGGGACTCGCATGCGAAATTCCCCACCCCCCCAAAAAGACTTATGTCGTCATGTCTGAAACCATCAATCCTGCCCCTAGACATCCTTCCATACCTCAAGTCTGTATCTGCAAGCCCAGTACCCTAAGCTGGAACCGTAGACCCTTAACGCTTAGCTCCTAAACGCCAAACCCGAGGCACCCGGAGGAACCTTCACAGCAACCTTCATGGTATGCCTTCGCAACCCTTGTGTATATAGTCTCCATTGTAGTTCTTTTTTGGCTGTAACCACTTAGATATTTAGGATCCTGTAACATAACCCCAAAAAGGATATACAATGGGTACTATCTATGTATATATATATATATATATATGGGGGGATTCGTACACATTGTAGTCGCCCAAGCCCGCAGGTTCGCACAGATCAACTCCCTCGTCTCCACCGCAGCTTGGACAAGATGGGTCCTGTCAATATAGGACTCTGAGCCCCTGCAGTTCCTATACTTACCGTTGGTCTAGGGTTTAGGGTTATAGGGTTTAGGTAGGGTTTAGGGTTTATAGGGTTTAGGGCCCATGGCTTACCGTTGGTTAGTAGGGAATGGAGGAATGGGGTACAATGATAACTACTATTACTACCATTCTTCCATTCCCTACTAACCAGCGGTAAGTATAGTAGCCTCATGTGCACCAAGCTCGTATTCTAGTTACATCGAGCCTCCTCTCTTCGGCGTTGCAGCATGTCGAAGGCTGAGTTTGAGGGTTTGGGGCTGGGGCCTTCAGGACACAATAGGGGCCGAGGCCTCAAAAAAGTAGAATGGGGTTTTGGGGCCCATTATACCACATAAGTTTTAGTACGGAACCCCCAAAAATAGTATAAGTGATTATTAAGCTGTTGTTCAGGTGGGGGACTTGTGAGTGGAGTCAAGGTCGGGGCCTTCAGTTTCAGGGGAGCACAGTACAGGGCTCAGGTTCGTATGCACGCTCGAAACCGCTCGGGTTGGAGACTGTAATCAAATAGGGTGTAGAGACGAGGGACATTGTGTGCTGCAAGTCCACCCAGAGCAGGCACCGGGCCTGCTGTTTGGCGGTGAAAGGGTCACAGCACTCACGAAAGCCCACACCCTAAACCCATAAACCCTGGACCCCCAACACCCCTAAAACCCCAAACGCTAAACCCTAAAGCTCGACACATATCCTGATAAATCCCTAGCCAGCAGGTTATGGCTGCCAGCACCACGACGCTGCGATACCCGGGGTACATGAACAACGACTTGAATCTCGGTTTAAGAATTGTCCGGCTCGACTCTAGGATCTAGGGTTTAGAGTTCAGGGTTTTGCGGTTTAGGGTTCAGGGTTTCTATTAGGTTTTTTTCTGTTGGAGGCACTGTTTTGCCATTGCTTGGGCCAAGAAGGTTTCGCGAGGTGATTTGGACATGCCGCTAGGCTGCGATGCCTGTGTTTTGAAAACCCGTTATGCCATCGCAGAAAGGTTTCTCAAATTGGTCTGTTTAGAAGACTTTGTTGCAAATCACCAGTTATGCCTCAAGCACGAAACCTCACAAGACTCATATGTGTGACGTGATTTTTCTTCGGGTCAGTTGGCTGAGCCACAATCCACTGGCGAGGATTGGCATGCTGGCCTCGCTCATCCCTACTCCGAAGCTGGGTCCTTGTTAAGCTTCAAGGTTTAGGGTTTAGAGTCTGTTGTTAAGGACCTGAAAGGTTTACGGTTTTCGCCAAAATAGTTATGTTACCGTGATGGGGATGTATAGTAGTCACTATGCGCGGATCTTACTTACGCTAGGTGTAAAGAGAACTGGTATAGCGTGCACGGGAGGTGGGCGCGCGGGGAGCTTTGGCGCCGTGCATAGTTCGCGCCTCCGTCACATTGACCGCAACAACCCACACAGGATCAGTGACCCGCAGAAAGCCAGATCTAGCACATGCCGTAAGCATTTTGGCCTCCCCCGATTCCCGCCAGTATTTGGGAGGAAGCATGCACGCTGTAGTCCTCAGTCCCGCAAGCAGCGGAGCGGAGCACTTGGGCGTGTCTTTGAATCCCCAAACCACGAGATGGGGGGAGGCATGTTCGGTGTTCTTCTGAATCCAGGGGGAGCCAACTGGTCGAGGCTGTGAATCGTGCCAGTAATACGGGGGCCTGAATAATTACCAATACTCTTTTGTTAGGGTTTGGGATCAATCGATCCGACAGCGGATCCCTTCGCCCCGACCCCAGTGCCCCTTCGTGAATGGCCCATGTTGGGAACTCTGGGCACGCCTGCCAAAATGGAGAAGGATTACACTGCCGCAGAGGCAGTTCGGACGGCCCTTCATCAGGACCTTGTGTTTGACGCGATGGCCGAAGTGCACGTTGATGGTGCGATCTCATTGCGGGGACTACGCCTGGCTTTGGAGAGGCGTACTGGTATTTACCTCACCCCCTATAAGGACGTCATCAGACGTGTGGCGGAACTATGTGTCCACAATGGTGGGCTTTCTGGTTATTGCCAAGATAGAAGGTGTCATGGCCCAACATGCGGGAATACACACTGCGCCCGTCACTCTGAGCCGGTTCTTGCTGCAGCTTGCAAGCAGGAGGCTGTGGAGATGATCTCGACCACTCCGATGGGGTCGGCTTCTGGCCGTGGTAGTTCTATGTTTACGCAACTAGCTGATGAGCTGGGTTTTGCCAAGGTCTGGGTTGGAACTTGGGAAACACTGCCGGGGAGACTCTTCTGGGAGAAAGGCGACCTGCAAGCAAAAGGTCGGCGTCTCACTCAAGACGTGTGCAAAAAGCGCAACATTTCTGGAACAACTCCCTTTCGGTCTTCGGCAATGGCTTTGCAGGAGCTGGCTGTGCGGATCAGAGCGCGGGCGGCAAAGCATGTCCTGGAGTCGCACAACATGCGGCAGACCGATTGCCAGGCGGCTGTTGCGGTGAAAGAGTTGGGCGCGATGTCCAACGGCGGCTTCGAGGACAAGGATGACCGGCATAAGGCAGGACGGCGCCTCGCAGAGGTTCTGGGCATGACGTGCATGTTCGCAGGACGGCGCTTCGAAAGGCATTCGTGTACTGCCCGGAGCCTCACCTTCGACCCTGGGGGCTGGGTATCCCGAAGTGAATCTGAGCTATATTTACTCCAACCTCTAGTTTGAGGGCAAGCTTCACTAGAGGATGTGTCGGCACGAATATGCGGACACCATCAATTGGTGAGAAGGTGCAGTTGCAGGCACCCTCGCCTTGGTGCGCAGCGAGGCATAGAGCCTTGCTGCTGCGTTGTTGTTGTCCGGACGCGGCATGGTGCATACGACTTTTCTGCACTGCGCAGGTCGGTTTAAGGTACCCTCTGCATACAGGCGCCTGGCGCTTAGTGAGTTTGCTTGCATACAGCCGGAACACCCACAAAGTGGATTGACGGTGTTGCAGCACTCGCTCGAATTCATTGCACGATTTTTGGGACGCGCCTTACTGAAGGCACGAGAGTCCGACACAGAACAGAAAAAAAATACTCTTTTGTTGGTTCCTGATTGGATTTATAGTATACCCCCAATTAAGGCCCCTATAGTCCCTATAGTAGATGGGGAAAGCAAGTTGGGCCGTGGTGTCTTGGTGGTCTCCTGGGTGGCTCCTGGTGGCTCGTCGTGGTCGCGATCGTCGTGGTGCCCCATGTCTGTTTGGGGATCTACTTTTGCATACTAAATATATGACTCCCTGACGATTCTAATTACATTGAACCAGGCTCCTTGCCAAGAATCCAGGAAGTGCCACTTCTTGATGACCGGCTACACGCCCTTGACGATCGATCGTCAGACCTCCACAATTCGGAAGACAACTGCGCCTCGGACAGGGGCTAAGACTTCTGCAAACAGTACCGAGAAGCCCACTTTCCAAAGAAATGGATGAATGGCGTTTAAGGGTTGGTCGCTCTTTGCGATGTGGCTAGTAACCTTGTGGTAAGTGGCGTCCCGTGCATACGGCTGGGGCAATGTAGCATGATGCTCAGACCAGAATATGCAGTAGTTAGTTTTACTTCTGCTGCTGCTAATTTTTTTGACGGAGAGATGTGTCTATACCCATGTCAGAAGCAGTTCTCGTCTTCTTGCGAGGTGAGCCTTTGCCGGTTCGATTGTGGTTTGCAGCTGTCACATGCTGTCACGTCACGAAAATAACATGCGTGTCCGGCTCAACGTAGGGCCCCAGAACGACATCATTACATCTCAAAGGCCACAGCCTTGTCTCCTTGTTAACTGATGTGCACCACCCTAACCATTGCTGGCGAGAGCTTCGCTCGGCACAGTTTGCACTGACTAGACTCTAAACACTACCAGTGAATGACCAATACTGGCTTGTCACAAGGGCCAAAGCAATAATTCTGTGTCCACTTGGCGCTGGCGCGTGCTCTGCAAAGCAGACCATGCTCGAGATTCTGGTGGTAGCCTCGTGCTTCCTTCCCTTAGCGTGCCTGGGATTCAATCGAGCATGATTTTGATTTCGCTTCTTTGTCAGGAGAGCATTAAGGAAATTATTTTCAGGGTTAATTTCCAAAACTCATGAAGGGAAGGCATGACCCTGTCTTCGTGTTTTGGAGCCTCCAACTCAGTAACTTGGCCCCACCCCCAAAGCCCCTAAACCCTCACCCTCACTCCCTAAAGGAGGGGCCTTAATAATTCGAAAAATTAGAAGGCTCCTTCAGAATATTTTTATAATACCAAAAACCCTAAGGAATAATGTTGGTAATAATTTAGGCCTCTGTATTAAGCTCACTGCCTAGATCAAAGGTATTTTGTCATCACAAGACTCTTGCAGCCCGGCAGTTGGGCCCAAGTGTCAAATGCCATGCGCACCTTGCAGGGCTGGCAGCCTGCCTGCAGAGTTTCATAGGTTAGTAGAGATCAAACATTTAGCGCATGGGTGGAGCCACCTTCGACGTTGGTTTTTCGGTTTTTCATGGTCCTGCACGTCGGTTTGTTGAAATCTTCATAGTTTCAACCCAAAGGGTTTAAGTCACATGTGTAGGGTTTGGGGGTATTGTTAAGGAGTTGGGGATTGTCTCTATGAGGACGATGTTGCCACCAGATCGTCAATGGACTCGCACCAGGATTCCCAAAGCCTTGAACCCAAACCACGAAAGCCGAAGGCCGTAGCCCTTTGTTCATCTGTTCCCACAACACACCGGAGCTGAAGAAATCGGAGGTCCTGAGACAACGAATCCTGTACCCTACACTCCAAGCCTTGCCCCTAATTTAGGTGTCGGAAGTCTCTTGTGATATGTTTCTCGTATTATCCTTTCTTGCCTCACATGACTATACTACCCGCAGGCCCCAAAATAGTTCCTTTTTGGGATTACCTTATAGGATTCTATATATGAATCCCCAAAAAGGAACTACTTTGGGGCCTTAGGGTATGGTTCCCCCCTAGCCTGTTCGACTCCTCGAGGTCCCTATACCAAACCCCCCAAAACAAAATTGGTAGTAACCATGCAAAAGGAAGCCCACTAATCTGTTTCTGAAAACCCTGAACCCTATGCCTGAAACCCTAAACCCTGAGCCCTGATTCTGCAGAGCCCTATACCTTAAACCCTCAACCCTAAACCGAGAACCATGGCATAGCCGAGGCTTATACCTTAAACCCTAAGCCCGAAGCCCTTCAGAAGCAAGAATCCTATAGGGGTACTTAGAAATAATTTTCTGTTTCTGGTTATTATAATCCCTAAGAAACAGCTAAAATAATAATTTTTGCTAGGGTTCTAAGTTCAGTATAGTAGTCCCTAAACCCTAATCCCTAAACCCTACAGAACCCTTTAAGGGAGCCCTACTTTTAACCCTATTTGTAACTACCCATGAACCCGAATCCCTGCATAGCCGAGGCAAGGCCCAGAGCTAAAAGATGCGAGATCCGAGAATCTAGGTTGAATTTTGGGACATTGTTTCTTTTCCTTGTATTTGGGTTTATAAGGGACCCTATATATATATATATATATAATTTTCCTTTTATTTGAGTTTATAAGGGACCATATATATAAATATTTGCCAGGGTGTTTAAAGGCCAACCCAGGAATACCATGCAGCAGCTGCGCCGTAAGCGGGAGCAGCGCCTCGGTAATTTCTGAAGGCTACTATAGGGCTTCTATAGAAGAGGGTTCCCTTTTAGGGGTACAATAGGGTTCTATAATAAGGTCCCCTTTAAAGGTAGTCTATACTTTATGGTTTACCTAAGTTAGGGGCTGTTGGGTGTTGCAGGGTTTAGGGCGGACCTAGGCTCTCTGTTGCAGCGCCTGTTTGGGGTACCTGGCTTCCTGGAGCATCATAGCCGTTAAGATCTACAGTTTAGGGTTTAGGATTTAGGGTGTCGAAACATCATAGCCATCAAGATCTAAAGTTTAGGGTTTAGGATTTAGGGTGTCGAAACAATACTTTACAATTATGATCTACAGTTTAGGGTTTAGGATGTAGGGTGTCTAAACGATACTTTACAACTAATTTTGTCCAATTTGGTGGGCTCACACTTTGAGTTCTATGTGTCTCTTGGCTACAATACACTTCCAGGTCCTTGCACGGTGTACCCTGCATGTGTATCATGTTGCAAAGGGCAGCCGGACAGCCGAGGTATTTAAAAGAGACTTTGGCCTTGTGGTCACTGTCAGCAGAACTGACCATGTTGTCCACCTTTCTGGGCATGAACTACTTCTCATTTGGGACGCTGGCACAGCTTCCCTGCTTCGTGACGTGCGCGCTGGGGAACTGGATGTTTCGAGAGTTCATGAAGGCTGAGGTAGAGCTGACTCAAACAAGGATGCGATTCTTCACTGCTGCCATGAGCCTTGCACATGTGGCAATGGTTCCGGCAGTCCCACTTGAGGCCGGAGTATTTTCCGTTGTTCTATTTAGTGAGGCCTTGTTGACACCCCGAATCTGGCAGATATCTTTATGCTGATCAAGTGCTTGTGTTGAGGCCGTGCCGGCCGTATACGCTTCCCGCATACTGACCTGCGTATCGACGACCGAAAGTTCGTTGGCGATTTGGATGAACGTTGCTCTCGCTCCTCTGTTTGTTGCCGTGCAACTGAGCATGATCCAGGATACAGACACTTCGTACGTTTCCCGACTCATGTGGCGTGTCATCAATGAGATGGCCGCGGTTGGGGTCATCTTTGCGGCGATTTCCACGATGATGCTCGGCTAGAGAATGAACAGTGTTGTTGTGTTTTCGCTTGTTTTGCCGGTCTTTGGATTATTCGGATTGCTTCCGACATGACTGACTCATCTGTACCACAGACATGCGCTGTCGTACACTTGGCTCCCGCATGCAAGCCTTATAGAAACCTTGTAGAACCCAGGAATAAAAGGAACCCCAAGCTTCGAGTGTGCATCGAAGCATGCGCAGACACTCACAACTTTAGATTGTCGAAGGGGTCCTAAGGCAGCATTGACACCTGCGCAGCCTCCTTTACGACATTTCCTACCCGAGGGCTGCTGTTACCTAAGCAGTAGGTTACTCGGGCACATGATACATGGGTTGTTGTCAAAATCATGGTCCCTTTTTGGATTCCTATTAGAATACGGCATAATTTTGACAACTAGGTGGAGCCCGTCAACGACAAGGCTTCAGATTCCAACCCTGTAGGACTCAACCGCAGACCTGAGTCCGAAAAGATGTCGGAGCCAACGGTGGGTGTGTGTGTGTGTGTGTTGTTCGTCTTATTTGTCTGTCGGGTATGTTAATATTTGATATTAGACTATATTATATTCTATTGTAGTATATTCTAAGATTCCTTAATTAACGGAGCCTTCAGCCAGGAACAGCAAGGAATACCAACTGGAAGTTGCTGCAATCCAGCTTGAGGCCACTCGGGTTTAGGGCTTAGGGCCTAGGGTTTAGGGTTAAGGTTTAGGATTTGGGGTTTAGGGTTTAGAGGTTCAGGGTTTAGGGTTTTAGGGTTTAGGGGTTTAGGGTGTAGGGCCTATGGGTTTAGGGTCTTCCTTAACCCAATAGGTTCGCGTGTCAATCCCTCTGTCGCAAAGGACGGACCCTGCAGTTGCCATGTGTCCGATGCTTCCGGTTTAGGGCTTTGCGTTGCTGGGCCTGGTTTTAGGGCTTGGGGATGAAATTAGGGCTTATGGTTCGTTTGGTGTTCGCATGTTCGGAGTGTCGGGCC